GTACCAAGATTTGGTCAGCTTTGTAGCCTTCCGCTCAGCCCCTGGTCAACTGCAGCACCATTGCGCTCTGTCACCACCATCGCTTTATCATGTGAGATCATTTTTGTCATGGCCTCTGGTTGGCAGCTGCGCTCCAAGGCATCACGCAGATTCATGCACACGTGCTGTTCATGGCTCAAGTACGCTCATACATACATGTGCTCATCTTGACCAGGACACGAGTGAATGTCGAGTTGTATTTGTTGAATTTATGTGTAGTTTGTTGTCGTCCTTCCCCGTACGTGACAGTTGCGCTAACCCCCCCTGCCCCCGATACATCGTCTGATTAGCATACACTCAATAAAAGAGACAGAAATGATATCTAGATTCTGTAGGTGCTATATCTATATTATTCAAGCTGTATAATGTCTGAGGTATTTATGACAGGTGTGCCACAAAGCTTCCAGGAAGCGCGGCTGTAGTGTAATTGTGTGTCTCTGCGACAATGTGTCATTATACGAACCCGCTGAACTGACAAAATGATGTACAGCGACTGTCATCCGAGCTTTCCCATGCCGGCTGCTTAGCTCCTCACGTCCTCCATCAGCCTTTGCCTTCTCCACCTCCACCTCCACTCATGTTCCACTCTGAACCACAGGGCTCGGAATCGGAAAACGGACCGGGTCGAGACAGCGGCTTGGCCTCCTCGCGCCTCGATCCGTCGGCCACCTTACCGGGCCGAGGTGGAGCCGACGCCGACCCGGACGCCATGGAGGGCATACTTTGTCGAAAACAAGAGATGGAGTCGCACAGCAAGAAGGCAGCTACCAGGTAATAATAAACTCATCTTTTTTTTTTAAATGTGTTCATCAACACGCTTCTAATTGCTTTAATATAATCACACAGATCATGGCAGAACGTATACTGCGTCCTAAGAAAAGGAAGTCTGGGTTTCTACAAAGATGGCAAGAGTGCTGCTAATGGGATTCCATACCACGGAGAAGTCCCCATCAGCCTTGGCGAGGCTGTTTGTGAGATCGCACATGACTATAAGAAGAGGAAACACGTATTCAAGCTCCGGTGAGTGGATAACTAGGTTTTGCCGTATTACTGTGTTGACTCAAATAGTGGCCTTTTAAAATTGATTTCTCAAAAACCCCTGACCCAAAAAAAAAAAAAAAAAGAGAAAATACTGTGTGACTTTAGGGTCAACTGACCATGCGTATTTTGCTTTCAGGCTAGGAGATGGAAAAGAGTACTTGTTCCAAGCAAAGGATGAGGTGATAAACAATAAAGACGTTGTAAATGTGTTGCATTTGTGCTGTGAATTGGTTGATTCCAAATTTCCTTTGTCCACTTCAAGGCGGAAATGAGCTCCTGGATCCGCTCCATCCTCAGTTCCATTCCATCGGGATCAGGAGACTCGCCTGGAAGTCCGCGGGTCCTCAGCCGCGCCATGACCATGCCCCCCATCTCGCCCGTCTCGCCCTCAGTCGACACCGCAGGCGTGACCATGCGCAACAAAGACGGTAAAGATAAAGATCGGGAGAAGAGGTTCAGCTTCTTTGGCAAGAAAAAATAGGACTTTGGTCAAAATCATGGATGGAAACGACCCACAAACTGAACGACACACTGGTCTCGGCGCAGCTCAGAGGCGCGCTGTATTTCGACAGCTACAGAAAATGTACTTTTTTTTTTCCCCCCAACTCCGGTTTTATCTGTCGCTTTCTTTTTGGTTCGCCGACTAAGTGCATCTCAAACACGGAAGCCCTCACCCAGAGACACCACCCACAGTAATTAACAGAACTAATGTTTGAGGAGAGGAAAGGGGGTGTCCTGTTCATCTCTTGTCCGCAGATTTGGTTGGCCTGCATTGCGTGAGCCGTGTTCCCGCCGTTGTGACGCCCCAATTGCTGGAAGCTCTTCTTCTCATTTGGCGCAGTCACCTCAGACCCCTCTGTTCTGCTTTTGAGCTTGATGTTATTAACCTGACCAATATTAATGCTGTTCTGATGATTATTTATCTTTTGTTATTGCTGGTTTGAAGAAAACTATTGATTTGATTGTCCATGTCGTGGAGAGAAACAAAGTAAAAACTAGTGGAGAATGTTGGGTTTATCCTTGTATGTATTACGATAATTTGTTTTAGGAATGATGGTACTTGAGTTTTTTTTTTTTTTAATAAAGGTCATTTAATTTTAGCAGTCTACAGTAAGTGAACACAAATTCAATTGGGAAATTTATATATGAAATAAGCTTTTTTTGTATTGCTAAATTTGCCAGAATTTATCATTGCAGTGATCTTTTCTGCTTGATTTGTGAGTTCTTTTTTTTTTTTTTTGTCTGTACAAAGCAGAGAAAATTAGTTTTTCTAGTGCGTGTGCGCGTGTGCGTGAGCTGTGGTGATGTGGATTTTGCACGTCAATATTACTCCTCATCAGACAACGGCCTGACGGATGCTACTTTTTGGTACTCAAATGGAGATGAAAATGAAACACGGATACAAAATATTACTGGAATTCTTTTCTGCTGATAAATGCTTTTTCTTTACCTCTGCGCTTTTTTTTTTTTTTTTAACTGACATCACCAAGGAGTTTTCTTTTTCTTTCTTGTTTCAATCATCACTCTGGCATTTGGGGGCCGAAGCACATTTGGTGTGGCAGACGTGGATGGATGGCAGCACATGTCCAATCACAGCTGGTGTGGCTTTGATGTAGGGAAGCAGAATACATGCGCTGCCGGAGTGCCGCCTTACTTGAAAAGATACCCCTCACCCCTGTACTCAAACCTAGCTACCCTCCATTCAAATACTTTCCCGATATAAGCTTTCACAGTACAGAGATTAAAAAAAAAAAAAATTCCAACATGATCAAACTGGGCTATGGACTCTATATGTAGGTACAATAGGCCCAATGGTGCGCTCAAACATCAAGGCATCAAGGTCTTGTCAAATAGGGACACGTTTTGAATCCTCTCAAATGATATTTGTGCTTTGTGGCATGATTATACTGTAGGTTTATCTTTGTGTACCACCATCAACCCATCTATGTGGATTTACGACAAGAACGTGATTGTTTTATTATCAGCGTGGGAGAACAATGTGATGCGTAATTGGCGTTTCCAATCACGAGAAATAAGGTAGCCAAGTCTATGAAAAAAACATTCTCATAGAATCTTCCAACTACTGTCCGTGTTCAACAATATAATAGAGCAGTTGTCTCGAAATACATATTGATAATTGTCACTTTCATCCACATGTCAATTTGCCTTTTCTGACTGCCAAAATTCACTAAGAGGTAACTTGATAACAATACTAACCTGTGAGGTTTGGGTTTTGTTACAGGTAATCCGGATACTTTGTTGTAATCCGTTACATGCTGATCACAATGACACTGACAGAGGGAGATGTAAACCTACATTATGGTTGCGCTGGTTTGAACTGTCACGCTTGGCCTTATTTTGTAGTTCCAAATGAATGTGGAACCAGTCCGACCATCGCTCCAATCCGAGTACAGGGTGACCAAACATCCACTTTGGTCCACAGTCTGAGGAAGCCAAGTTACAAAGGTTAACAATGCATAAACAAGTGACCATTGGCACTGTTACGTTGAGCACAATGATTCCAAATGAGTCCTAAGGTGAAAGGTCAGGCAAGAGTATTGTATGACTTCATCTCATTTTGAATGTAAATGAATCCATTTCAGTTGGGCCAAATTGGTCACGGAAGCAAAAAAAAAAAAAAAAAATCAAACAAACATAAGTGCTCTCTCACATAAACTGCACTGCGTGCTTAAAGCGTGTGCAATTCTCCTCAGAGGACCTTTTGACAAGAACGAAAAGTTGGTTGGCTGCCAGAGCACTCACGAAAATAAAAGTTCTGAATGATTTGATGTGTGAACTGTTTTATAGAAATGGGGGCGAAATGCACTGAATGGGGGTGATTTCTTTTTTGTAAAAAGAGGCAGGGTATTTGCAGTCTAGTTGGAAACTGGTCATTTTTTTCATCCAGTGGTTTTGTCTTGCGGCATTGGATGAAACTACATTTTCACTTTGCTTTTGACAATGTCCGTTTTCTTCCTCTGTAGTTGTTAATAACACTACTATTATTAATTGCTATTATGATCATTATTGCTACTGTTGTTACTATTACTACTCCTGTTACTAATGCGTTGCAAAAAAAAAAGTATCAATGCTGTCCATTTTTCAGGTACATGTCTGTAATTGCAGACTCTTCCACATGGTGTCAGTGTGCCGTGGAACATTTTCATTACAATTCCAGAAATGTTTGTTGACTTCTGTATCTACAGCTACAATATTAGGAATAATAAAATCTGGTTTAATCAAAAAATGTGCTGCTTTTTGGGGAGTAAATTATGAACTTGTGTATTTTTGCTAATTACTGTGCAGCTAAGTTTAACAGTCCAAGTTCTACAAATAATGTATCTCTTGTTCATCTTTCTGTACCAATGACATATAATGACGGACAGAACACACATTCTACCGTGAGAGCAAAAGTTACATTTAACATGTGGCCACACACCAGAATAATAGCTTCATGTTCATCACAACAAACCTAAATTTCCTAATAAGTAAATGTATGAGTAAACTGAGACAAATGCATGATTTTAGTATTGATAATTTTGTTTGGTGGTGTGTCGTGCTGTTTTGTTTTATATCTCATGTTGAATGGCGACATACCCATGCTGGTGCAGAATGATGCCCAGAAATTACACATTTGACCGAACAATGAATGGAGCACAGCCCCTTGTCTCATGTTTGTAAAAAACTAATAAAACATTTTTTTGTTGTTGCATAAAAATCTAATCATATTGTAGTTGACTCATCTAAAGAAGCCAGCTATGTTTTAAGTTAAAACAAGACGTTTCGATTTTTTTTAAAGCATGTAGGAAGTGTGCTCTAAATATCGCGGTTTTTCAACTATTACGGCCGTGTGTGGAACGTGTCACCGCGAGAAACGAGGGGTTCACTTCCTGTCAGTATGACGAAATGCTCCTTGCAATGACCAAAGATGACCACTAAGCGGTGCTAAGTGGTAACCCTGTGCTACATTTCCCAGCAGCCCCTTGGCCGCATCGTCAAGCAAGATGGCAGCTGTTGTCGAGAATGTTGTCAAACTGTAAGTGTTCCACTTTCCTTCACCCTTTTTTCGCTTTTAGACGACAAAAGTTGCGGCGAACCCACGACGACCATTTCATTATTAATCTCCCAGTCGCGTCGCTTGGTTGCTTGAACGACATTTCCACTGGACGGTTGAAGGTTACCAAACGCAGTCGGAGCGTCGTCGACTGTTCTGTTGGTCGAACATGTCCTACAATGAAAGTTAGCAAGCTCGAGTTTGACGCCTTGAATGTGTCGAGTCACTGTGATACGGCAAATATATGTGTTCGTGTGAGCACAATGGTTTGTTTCTGTGTGGTTAGTTTGAATCTTGCAATGCTATTTTGACAGCTAGCTCGCGTCGGTTGGCACCACACAAGCCAGGTGTCTGTCACGCTAATGGGCTCAAGTTATCCAAAGTTGGCGTTTGGGGAGGGGGGGGGCAACTGTTTGACGACAAGTTCCAAATGGTATTGAATACTCCTCATTATCATACCCCTTCAAAGTAACTTCTTAGTGCGCCAGTTGTTCGTTCTGAACTACAGTTGTCAATGTGATAGACGACTCCCATTTTCCGCGTCGTCAGTCAGTTCTGCTCGGAGTTGAAGTTTTACGGCAGGTGCTTGGGGGACTTCAGATGCCGTCGGAATAACAAGCTCTCATTGGACTCAGAAATCCCGAAGCGTCACCTAAACTTTCCTCCAAATGTGAAAAATAAAAAGAGTGATCAACTTCCAACTGAGCTATCCCCCGCCTCTACACCATTCACTATTCATAAATTCACCTATACACGTTTTCCTATTCCAGCTATTTGCTGAAAAACATTTTGTGGTCTTTCTGAAGTACCCTTTGAAGTTGGGACTTTTTGTGATCTGTTGAAATTGACACAAAATAAGTTACACGGGACAAGTTTTTGCCACTACTCACCCATACTGAGTACCATATTTGATCCTATATCCTGTCTCCCAATTGTGATGGAAATTTTTGAATCAAAATTTTTCTCAGTTAGGGGTGCTCTATGTGAAAGGAGTACACACAGCAGATAAGAGACGAAGAACACAGTCTGGTGAATATAAACAATGAAGGAATGGGGAAAGGGCCACATTGCTATTTGCAGAGGTGGATGTTAACTCATTAGCTGGTGACAGCGATCTGCTCAATGTAACGCACACTAGATTTCCAGCTAAAGTCGTTTGTCATATACATACTTAAAAACTGAGAGAAAATGGATGATAGGAAAAAAGTAACTGTAAGGAATTCCATGAAGAGGCCCCTGAAGCTTCATCAGGAAAATGTATTGAATCTCCCTGGTTGTTGTGACGTTTGTAGGTCATGTTGTATCCAAAAGAAAATCCAATGCACTAAACTTGTCTTTGAGTATTTATTACAACAAGTAGTAAGTGCATCCGTCTCTCTTGAAAGCAGGAAGTCAGGCGAACCCACCGTCAGGAGATAATGGGTAATAAACAATGCCTCACAATAGCGAGGATGCCATCTCAATAATGTTTTTTTTTTTTTTTTTGGTGTGTCAGCAGGTTGGGCGAGCAGTACTACAGAGATGCCATGGAGCAATGCCATAACTACAACGCTCGTCTGTGCGCGGAGAGGAGCGTGCGCATGCCCTTCCTGGACTCCCAGACGGGCGTGGCTCAGAGCAACTGCTACATTTGGATGGAGAAAAGGCACAGGGGGCCTGGTAGGAATCAACATTGCTCTGCCTCTTACCACATCAAATTAGAAAGACGTGTATGTGCAACGTGTGCATTCATTAGGACAGGAAGCATTCCGGTGTTGTTTTGTGTCGTCAATTAACGAAACCGTCGCATTCTTCATTGCTTTCTAAGCAAATGTCGAGAAGCATACCAGATGGCGTCTCATCTGTTCCTCAGGCAGGGCTCCGGGCCAGCTCTACACTTACCCTTCCAGGAGGTGGCGCAAAAAGCGAAGATCTCATCCTCCCGAGGACCCTCGGCTAGTCTTCCCCTCAGCGAAGTCAGGTATTTTGGGGTGGTATGCTCTTGAAGGGGGTGCGGGGGGTGGGAGGCAGGGGGGGTGCTCTCTTGCACACTCAAATGGATTGATGGAGACGCGCTTTGGCTTTTGTCTGCACAGAGCCGGATGTCGGACTGAAGAAGGATGCGCTCTTGTCATCTGATGGCAGCAGCCTGGAGGCCTTGCTGAAGGGCGACTCCCTGGAGAAACGCGCACCCGCCGATCCCCGAGCGTCCGAGGAAGACTCCAACCCCGGCGACTACGCCGTCGGCCTGAACCCCGCCGCACGCACCAGAAAGGTTCTTCGACACACATCTGCACACATGTGATGCTACGCAAACTAAGAGTTTGCGCAAACCTTTGTGCTCAAGGGCAGTCGCCAAATTGTATAGTTCACCTCTCGCGGTCATTGAAATGAATTAAGTGTGTTTAAAAAGTGTGTCAAAGTAAATTTCACTGTCGATTACAGCGTATTGGAGAGGTGCTTTGAGGATTCATTTGGAAAACCAAGCTTTTTATTTTTTTATTCGGTGTGTCCAAATAATACAGTCCAAAAGTGTGTCGACACTTGTGCTACCAAATGATATCAGTCGTTTATAAGTCAATCAAAAATGAAGCACTCACGCCCCATCCTGCGCATGTCTCCACGACATGGTAGAAAATCTTGGAACCTGACGACTTTCTCGATGACCTGGACGACGACGACTACGAGGAAGACACGCCCAAGAGAAGAGGCAAAGGCAAGGGGAAGGTGAACAAGTGCACGAGACAAGAACACACTTGAGCAACTGGTTTTTGGGAGAAGTCATAGTTTCAAGATTGTGTGCGCGCGTGTGTGTGTTCAGGGTCGCGGGGTGGGCAGCGGCGGCAGCAGCAGGAAGAAGCTGGACTCGGCAGCGTTGGAGGAGCGCGACAAGCCGTACGTGTGCGACAGTGAGTGACGCCAACCGTCTGCGGCTGCGCCTTGGCCGCCATCTTGTTTCCGCTCCCGTGTGATCCCGTCAGCTAGCCAAGCCGCCGTCGACGTCATCTACGCCTTAATGTGTGTCGTTTTTCGACCCGAGGGGGGTGGCATTCTTCTGAGTGTCTCTCTGTGTCTTTCTTGTCTCCTCCCCCTCTCTTTCAGACGCTATCAAACAAAAGCATATTTCCAAACTTTCTGAAAAAGGTACATCCGCTTTCCTTCTCTACGTCGTCTGCATGTCACTGTTGAGTCTCACAGACGGGTTGGTGTTTTTTTTTTTTTTTGTGGCTCGCAAACGAATTCGGAGGAGGGTAACAGCTGATTAGCCGTGCTCACACGCTATGCACGCTGTGCTTCAGTCTGCTCGTGACCCATGTAGACGGAAGCACCTGATTTCATTTCCTTTTTTGTCGGCGTGCGCTTCATCCCTTGTCTCTTCAATTCTCACTGTGCACCAGTTTGCTGGGTTTTTTTTCCCAACCTTGCGAGACGAGGTTCTCTTTCATCCTCGTCTTTATGAGTGACAGTTAAGCTACCAACTAACATGGATTTATTTAATATTGTTTTCAGTCCTAAATCCATGCATTTTGTATTTTTTAATCCTTGAGATCTTGAGGGAAACCATCAGTTGGTACAATTTCAGACAACTTTTAAGTCATTCGTGTCAAAACTCACCCAGTCGGTATAACATTTGTAACATGTTTGCCAGATACACACCACAGCTTCCTTTCGCCACGTGCACGCTGTATTAACAAAGCACTGTGTGAATATTTGGAAAATATGCAATTTGGAAATCAAGTTCAAAGCAATTTGAAGATGACTCATTTTCATGGCTCGGTGCAACCAAACCGAAGCCATCATGTATTGCGGTAGACGGTAAAGATTGTCCAGTTCCATTGTTATCTCCCATCGACCATTCAAGTAAATAATCCAGTGGAACCTTCAGAGTCAAACATGAATTGCATTAGATGGACTTCTAAGTGTAAAGAAAAGACGGGCCGTATAATTGAAGTAAAACTCGTCACCTTTTAAATTCTGACATTGGTGGCGTTGGATTGGCATTGCTGGAACGTGCGTGTAAGTGTACATTCACTCATTTGTGTGTGTCTAACAATATTTAATCGCCTGTGGTTGCTCATATTGTACGCAACAGCCAGAAAAAAAAAAACTGCACCCGGCCATGATATGAGTTGAGTGGATCATTAGTTGTAGGACGACGTAATTGGTCGGTTGTTACAAAAACGACAAACCAGCCTTTGTGGTGGGTCACACGTGTTGCTGTCATTTCCGGTGTCGGCGTCAGTCTGCGGCAAACGCTACAAGAACCGTCCCGGCCTGAGCTACCACTACACCCACTCGCACCTGGCCGACGAGGAGGGCGAAGAAAAGGAGGAGATGGAGATCAGCGAGCCGCAGACACCGCTGCCGGAGGCGCCCAAAAGTAAGCGGCCCCCGCTCGTTTGGCTCGGCGAGACGTCTCGGGTTGTGGCACGGCGCTTGAGCTTCTCATTTCGTCTCCGTCAGCCCCGAAGAGAGGCCCAGACGGGCTGGCCTTGCCCAACAAGTACTGCGACTTCTGCTTGGGAGACTCCAAAACCAATCACAAGACGGGCCAGTCGGAAGAGCTGGTGTCCTGCTCCGACTGCGGCCGCTCGGGTGGGTCGCCCTGCACTCGCCGCCTTCTCCACCCGCTCGGGCATACGCGCTAACAGACGTGTGTGTGTGTGTGTGTGTTGTGGGGGGGTTTCAGGCCACCCGTCATGCCTGCAATTCACCCCCATCATGATGGCCGCCGTCAAGACGTATCGCTGGCAGTGCATCGAGTGCAAGTGCTGTAACATGTGCGGCACCTCCGAGAACGACGTGAGTTTGCACGACGTCCATCGCGGCGGGCGTGCCGAATTCTTTAAAAAAGCTTTGGCTGGATTTTGGTTCTTTTGTTTGTCTCTTCAAGGACCAGCTGCTCTTCTGTGACGACTGCGATCGAGGTTACCACATGTACTGTCTCAAGCCGCCCATGGCAGAACCCCCGGAGGGTAAGTCTGCAGATTTAAAAAAAAAAAAAAAAAAAAAGACTTTGATCACCACTTAACTTTCTTAACTTTAGCACTGAAAGCAATTTGTTTTTTTTTAAAGCCGTTCTGTTATAGTCCAAAAAAATGACAAGGTCGAGTGACATATGATATAAAAGGTACATTTGGACAAGACCAGATGACCAAATGAGATTGTCAACTGACTCGCGTGTGGTCAGGGAGCTGGAGTTGTCACCTGTGCGTGGACCTCCTGAAAGACAAAGCGTCCATCTACCAGAAGCAGGACGCCCCGCCCTCGTGATGGCCGCTCCTTCTGCACATACTTCGGCCGCGCCGGCGTCGCGCAAGTGTGTCCAGAGGGAGGCTGTGATTAGTCCAAAGGGAAGTACGTGCTACCACGCTGGCCTCATCTCTTCATACGTGACTGTTACACTCTCCATTTTTTTTTTCTTCCCGTGAGATCGGCGGAATTGTGCAGCGGGCCGTGCAAAGTGAAACTTTTAAATGTATTTTTTTTTTTTTTTTAACAATTTCTATCTTTCTAAAGTTGATCTCAGTACGCTTTAGTGGATGTCAATTTGGGTTCTTTTAGATTTCGGAGACCTTTCACACCGTCGCACGCAGGCTGAAATTACAAATTATTGACAAATTATTTTTTTAAACGAGAAGCACGAGGTTATCGATGGACAATAACGATCACATTTGATTGATATTTAAGATTACTGTCATACTCGAAATAATCGTAAGTATAAATATGTCATTCACATTTTTGAAGAATGACCATTTTTCTTGTGGTTGTGGCCTGCAATAAGGCGCTGCATCGTTTGAAAAGATTTTGCAGCAATTGAACAAATCCTACATGCTATGTTTTTTGGCTTTGTTTCAAATAACAGTTCCTCTGAGGTTCTATTTGCACGGCGTGCTGGCCGAAATGCGCTGCTGGGTCATGTATGTATCAGTTTCTCATCCATTTTTGAGGGTAGAATGCAAAAATAGACCCCCCGGCCCCTCCCTTGTCATTCCCAACAGCTCTTTGGGGCCTTTTACTACCACACAGGCACATAATTGCTCCCACCAAATGCCAATGTTAAGGTCTTCCTCGCTGTGTTGTAGCAGTTCTACGTTTAGTCTCCCTTCCAACTCACCTCGATTGTTTTCTAGTCATCATTTGCTGCGTTAGGACGCTCGAATGAGACCGTTTTCCTTGCTTGTGTGGCGGCCACGGAACGTTTTCTTGGATTTGGACACGGGCTCAGCAATGATGTGCCCTCAAAAGCATCAAGCGCCATTTCCCTCAAAAGTGTGAAACAAAGGCCAACGTGCACCACCGGAGAAGCACTATCGGCGCTTTGGATTTTGGTAGACAACACGGGAGCGCGGTTCATGGTAAAAATCACTGTAGGCGACTTCCCGTAGGCTGACTGATGGAATGTCCCATTGTACTTTTCACTGTAGGAAAATAAAAAAAATATATATATATATACTAAGCATTATGATGTCGTACAGCTCCCTCTCGAGACATTTGCAATGACCTATTATATAGTATGCTACCTGTCAAATCTCAAATCAGGCACAAGCAGAACTACTGTCGTACTATTTTATTGCACTCAGGATATAACAGTCTATCAATCCCTAGTTTAAAAAAAAATTCCCATCACATTTGAATAAAATTAACACTGCCGCAGAACAGCCGTGAAACAAAACATTCAGTCTTCGGTTTCCATTTGATTTCCGTCTCGGGTGTACTCCCTTTCAACAAACCTAAAATATTCTACACACCGAAACAGATGCATTCATTTGACTTAACGCTCTAATTTCAATATCAAGAACGCCACAAAACGAGGAAATCAAATCACTTTAGTGGAACATTTAAGACTTAATATCGGTTTGTACCAAAAATGTGGCTGGTTATTCACCTCATAGAAAAATAACAGATTGCTTTCATTGTACAATTTGAAAAAGGAGCAGCAAGAGAGAGCATCAGTGAGATTGCATCTCATTTATGCACGAAGTACCGCTGAATGTTTGTGCTGAGCAATTCAAATATTCCACCAAAGTGAATTCATTGCAATTCGAATCTTCATACCTCAATGTGGCAAAATCAAACGAAACTGAACTCGCCAAAGTTGATGACACTTATTAAATACACATTGAATATTTAATCCTAACACCTCTAAACAATCTCCAGACATAATTTTAACCGTACCAATACTCGTTGAGAGGCTGAAAATGTGCATTCCAACTCCTGACACGTTCAAGTTGTCCCTCAAAGTAGGACATTCGAGCATCATAGATTGCCGCGACCTTATGTAAATATTACACTCAAATATAGACAATAAATACTGTTGAATTTTTAGCCTGTGTGAGGAACAAGAAAAAAAAAACTGGAGGCGGTGATGTCAAACACTAGAAAATCAGTTCATGAAAAGTGCTGCTGTTCCAAAAAAGACTTATTGTGTCAGGGAAGCAACTCTAATTTTGACTTGAGCCAAAAAAAACAAAAAAAAAACAAAAAGGCCAAATGAGGAGGTTGCCCTCGCAGTGTCGCTTGACTTCACATGTGCCCAAAGAGGATGGAGCAGAGCAGGAAGATGGCGTAGAGGAACAACAGGCCCAGGCCCAGGCGCCGATCCAGCCGCCAGCCGTTCAGATGAACGCTCGTCACCTGCGAGAACAACGCGGCGAGTTTTACCCCCGCTTGTGTGATTTGAAAGCCAAGTGTGGGCGGAAGTGAAGCGCGTTGACTCACAGTGAGGAACACAGACGCCAGCAGCAGGACGACGGAATACACCAGGCCTTTGTTATTGATGGACACCTGCGGGCGAGGGGTAGATGGGGGACAAACAAAACGAGACGTCAAGCGTGTGTGGCGGCTCCGCGACGACAAAAGAAAAAGCGCGAAGGCCAGCCTACGAATGAGCCGTGGTCCACCACCAGCGTGCGGAGAGCCCACGGGAAGCCCAAACCCAGCAAGATGTCAAAGATGTTGCTGCCAATGGAGTTGGACACAGCCATGTCGCCCATGCCTGGAGACCGACGACACGTGAGAGTCCAAAAACCGACACTTTGCATGCCAATGACTCGTCCCGTATGTCCGAACTCAAATGCGGCCTTTGGGGACCGGTTGTGCCCGCCCACCTTGTCGGGCAACGATGAGGCTCGCCATGCAGTCGGGCACGCTGGTCCCCGCTGCCAAGAAGGTGATGCCCATGATGTAGTCTGGGATGTCTAAGGTGACGCTCACAATGGTGACCTGATGGACAGGTGAGCACGGCCACGTCGCAAGATGCTGTCGGTCGCGGTGGAGAAATCAGGTCACGGGACGAGCAGTTTCCCGGTACTTACCATCCACACCATGAGGTAGGAGAAGACGGCGATCCACAGCGTGGAGGCCACAAAGGTGACCATGAACCAGCGATGCCAGCGCGGGACGACGCAGTTGGGCACCGTGCAGTAGAGCAGGAGGCCCAGAGGCCACGTGATGACCCACTTGACCCTGGCCCAGCAACCGGCTGATGCACAGGCGCCCAACGTGTCACTTGGAGCCACACTAAGCCGCTCACACTTCCTGTTCGGCGTCCTCACCTGGGATGCGCAAGGGGTGGAAAGCGCCGTCGTCGTCATCGTCCGCCGCCGCCGCAGCCGGCTTGTCTCCGGACTCTGTGTGTCCTGCGCCGCCCCCGTTCTCCAAACTGCAGGAGCCCGTCCGCTTCAGGCTGTTGGCAGCGGAGCCCCCTCGGTACTCGGCCTCGCTGCCCCGCGGGCTCTTAGAACTCCGGATGAGTCTCTGCCGCTGGGAGGAGAGAGAAGAGCCTTGATGATAAGTTTGCTCTTCCAAGTCAAAGGTGAGGAAAAAACAAAACTAAAGAGACAAACGACGGCTGTACTAAATTCTAACGTGTGTGTATGTTACCTCGCTGATGAGCACACGGCCAGCCATGGAGAGTCTGGTGCGAGGCGAGAAGTGCGGCGTGATCATGATGCGCAGGCCGGCGTCGGAGAAGGACAGCTTGTGAGGGCTGAGGATGAGAAGCTCATCCACCATGACGACTGCGCCGCCCTCCTGATTCTGCACTTGAGCTAAAGTCACACGGACAGAAATCAGTCAGCAAGAGGAAAACCTTCCCTTCTGTTGGCCTGCGGGGGTTCAGAAGCTTTTATTTTTTTCTCCCTCCTCTCCGCTAAGGTGCATTCTCAAACTTTGCCTTCAATGTTGATAAAATCACATTGATATCGACAAAGTATTTTGCTACAAGCACACTTAAAGCGTGTCCATTTTCCAAACCTTTGTTCAGGAGGGCCATGGCGGTGTGGCAGGCCGAGGGCTCGTCTCCCATTTTGTCCTCTCCGCCGTCCTGTGACGCGACGCAGCACGGCCCGGCTCGGCGGAACTGTTGCGTCACAAATGTCCGAAGGTGCGTGTTGAACCTGCCAACAAAGCACAAATATGACGCATCATTTAACGACCAGAATGTGGTCGCACTTTGGCTGGGGGAGGGGGGCGTGTCCTCTTACTTCATAATGATGATGTAGATCACGTACATGGTCATGAGGAGCAAAGACTCCCACCTGCAAAGCACACACACACAAAAAAAATGTATTTCACTGTGTGTGCGACGCGTAATAGAAATCTCCCAACACCACCACAAGTAACGACCGTCGTAAACATTTTTTTTAAATCGCTCCGTAACAGCGTCAACCAAATTCAACAAGTTAGCTGCCAGCGCTAAACAAACTATTTCTATTCTGAGCGCGCTCCTCCAGTCGACTGCACTCGGTGAACTCCAATTGGGCTCCGATGACATACGGCGGGACCACCTTGGCGGCAACGTTGGCATTCAGCTAAAAGTCACCGTTGTACATCACCCGCCATTCCATTAAGTTGAGGGATAAATCAGTGGTTTCATTAAACCGCATCGCACCTCCGCCGGACAGAACAGAATGTGAAGATTTGCCGGCCGTTTTGTCTCTCCGATCACGAAGACAACACGCGTTTGTTTCATGGCACGTCGGCCCAACACACACGTCGGTCCTCGTAAGTGACAGCTCATTCGATTGTAAGCAAGGGCAATGGTGCATGTCACTCAAGAGCATCTTGCAAAAAAAAAAAAAGTATCAATACGAAGCTCGACTCACCAGACAACCACAGCGTCGTAAATGACCTTGAAGAGAGGACACGGGTGATTACAATCAGAAAGACAAGTAGGTCGACGGACATTATATGGATTGAGTGGAGTTGATTGCACAGATTTCTTTTTTTTTTTTTTTTTTTAAAGCAGTTCACGTAATTTAAAGTGCACCCTCACTGGCATGTACTGCTCGCACTAACAACACAGCCGCAAACTGTGAGGTTGTTTCTATGATATCTGTGAGAGTTGACGCCAGATAATAATGGGGGGGGGGGGGGCCAAACTTTGTTCTGAATAATATAGCCATTTGCATTTTCCATTTCCCAGAAGCAAAAACACTCAAGATGTGGGGTGTGTGCCACTCACCCCGATGAGCGCCAGCACAGACAGGATGTAGTAGGAGGAGTCTCGAAACAAAGACCACCACGTCAGCTTCACCGTCTGTGGGGAGACACAGCAACGTCACGACGGCGCGTGGCGACAAGAGGGACGACTATTTCAATCGCAACGTCGTTCGGACCTGGCCCGCAAAGATGCCGCTCAGGCCGATGATGACCAGGATGTTGAAGACGGCCGAGCCCACGATGGTGCCCACGCCAACGTCCCCTTTAGTGATGAAGACACCTGAAAAGAAAAAATTGCTCAGCTGTGCCATCTACTGGATGGGGGTGGTGGGGGCGCACATTTCATAACTAGATGTATGACAAAAATGTGACTTGAAATATGGAGAAAATACATTAATTGTCCCGTGAATAGCAAAAATGAATTTGAGCGCAAATGAGGACAGTTCAGAAAGGGATGCGTATTGCAAAACAAAAAAAATGATTTGAAAACAAACGTTTCACCAATGAGCGATGTGAAGAGCTCCGGAGCGGAGCTTCCTGCTGCCATGAACGTTGCCCCGGCAACATCCTCACTCAGCTGGAGATTCTGAGCGGGAGGGGGGGGGAGCAACACTGTTAGAACATTTCTAAGTGTTATGAAAAAGCATTCCAGGCTCTCTTACCTCCGATATTTTTTCAAGCGAAGGAACAAAGTAGTCATCGCAGACGATGGCCAGAGCGTAGAACATGTAGATGGCCTGAAAAGGCACGCAAGCGCTTTGATGAGAAGAACCAAGACACACGGATCCCTTGTCGGATTTTGGAATACTCACACAGAGAACGTGCAGTAAGACGGCTCCATTCTTCCGCTGCTCCTTATTGAAGATGTCCTCTGGAAACTCATGAATGGCTGCAAGGCATGATGGGAAGGCTTAACTAAAACGCTGACCCAATTTTGAGAAGTGTTAAAATATACCGTCATGGTGAAATGTTATAAAACCCAAGTGGCTGACATAATTTGCTGACTCGGCATTTTTTTTGCTCTGCAGGAAACTGTGGAGTGAGGACCTTCCGTCTTTTTGTTAATGACATTATCAAAATATATTTTAAAAAACACGAAGGCTGTTTATCATTTCATGTATTTTTCAAAATCCCCCGGCGCTTTCAACCACATTCTCCACAGGAGACCGTTTTTGTGTTTGATATGCATCCAGGCGTCATACAGGAAGTGAAACTGGCAGCTGGTTCCTGTGTGTCCAAAATACGGTAAGGCGTTTTTTTAGTCCAAAAAAGACGACCAAGGTGTTTTGATCCAAAAAAGCTGACATATGGAAAGTGTTTTGAGCACCCAAAAAAAAGTAAGCCGTTTTTTTTTTTTTACAACCAAAAAAGATGACCATGTATAGTAAGGTGTTTTTAGCCCAAAAATACAACCATGTATTGTAAGGCGTTTTTAACCAAAAAAAATGACCATGTACAGGAAAGCGATTTTAGCCCCCAAAAACGACCATGTATAATAAGGCATTTTAACCCAAAAACCGACCATGTTTAGTAAGGCGTTTTTTGCCGAAAAAAATGACCATGTATAGTAAGCCGTTTTTCGCCCCTCCAAAAAAGGATCATGTACAGTAAGCCGTTTTTGAGTCCAAAAAAATACGACTATGTATAATAAGGCGTTTTGAAACAAATAAGACGACCATGTACAGTAAGGCGTTTTTAACCCCCCCCAAAAAAACGTATACTAAGGCGTTTTTAACCGAAAAAACGACCATGAATAGTAAGGCGTTTTTTTGCCCCCAAAAAACGACCATGTACAGTAAGGCGTTTTTAGCTGAAAAAAAAAACGACCATGTACAGTAAGGCGTTTTTAGCCGAACAAAACGACCATGTACACGAAGGCGATTTTAGCTGAAATAAACGACCGTGTACACTAAGGCGATTTTAGCTGAAAAAAAACGAGCATGTTGTCTAAGGCGTTTTTAGCTGAAAAAAAACGACCATGTATAGTCAAATGTTTTTAACAAAAAAAAAAAAATGACCATGTGTAGTAAGCCGTTTTTAACCAAAAAAAAAAATGACCATGTATAGTTATGCGTTTTTAGCCCCCCCACAAAAACGACCATGTACAGTAAGGCGTTTTCAGCCCATTCCAGATCTTGGCCTTCCTTATCGAAGCTTGCATGTCAAGCTTTTTTGAACGACCATGTATATGAAGACCTGTTTGGGTTGTTACTTACGAGCTCAAAAAAGCAGCTCTGGTTGACTGGTTACTGTGTCCGCTTAACCGCGCAGAGGTGCGGTGTTTGAATCCAGGTTTCGGCCATCATCTGCTGAGTTTGCATCATTGACCAGGTATGTAAAGGCCTTTTTGGGTTGTTTCTTATGAGATCGGTATAGCAGCGTCACCGTGGTCGAATGGTTAGGGCATCAGTTTAAGGCGTTTTCAGCTGAAAAAAACGACCATGTACACGAAGGCATTTTGAGCTGAAAAAAACGACCATGTATAGTAAGGCGTTTTGAGCTGAAAAAAACGACCATGTATACGAAGGCATTTTTAGCCGAAAAAAACGACCATGTATACTGAGGCGATTTTAGCGGAAAAAAAGACCATGTAAAGTAAGGCGTTTTTAGTTGAAAAAAACGACCATGTATACTAAGGCGTTTTTAGCCGAAAAAAACGACCATGTATAGTAAGGCGTTTTTAGCTGAAAAAAACGACCATGTATACAAAGGCAAACGACCATGTATACTGAGGCGATTTTAGCGGAAAAAAAGACCATGTAAAGTAAGGCGTTTTTAGTTGAAAAAAACGACCATGTATACTAAGGCGTTTTTAGCCGAAAAAAACGACCATGTATAGTAAGGCGTTTTTAGCTGAAAAAAACGACCATGTATACAAAGGCAATTTTAGTCGAAAAAAACGACCATGGATAGTAAGGCGTTTTGAACTGAAAAAAACGACCATGTATACTAAGACGTTTTTAGCCGAAAAAAACGGCGTTTTTTGCCAAAAAAAACGACCATGTATAGTAAGGCGTTTTTAGTCGAAAAAAACGACCATGTATAGTGAGGCGTTTTTAGCC